CCGCTGAGCCTGCGCGTCCGGAGCCTGTGCTCCGCAACAGGAGAGGCCACAACAGTGAGAAGCCCGCGTACCGCTTAAAAAAAAAAAAAAAACGCATCATGTTATAAAAGCAAAGGAGAATGCATTTTTTTTTCCAGGAGGTTAATAGGCATTTGGGGGTCTTTAAGAAAAGAATCAAATGTTTAGTCTAATGTCCCAAACCAGTAAAAGAGGTGTTGTAACTCAGTGTTGGGCCCCATGCTTCATTTGAGCTCTGCACACTTAATGGTGAGTCCCTGACTTTCATGTTAATTTTCATGAATGACGATGCGTAAGTGATGTTTTAAATCCCCGTGCAGACCCAAATGAAGGTGAACCCTAGCAACCTGAGTTACCTAGTCCTTCTCTGTGGACTCATTTCTAATTGAATGTTAAGATCAAAGTTTAAGTTTATAAGAAAGAAAAAACAAGTGCAGATAAATAGTTATTATCTGACATCCTTATGAAAATTCATGACCTGCCGTTTTATCAGAGACCTTCTAAGAATTCTAATTGTGAAGTCTGCGGAGCTATTAAATGGCTAGTACACTTCAGTCTCTTGATAAGAAGTGAGTTAAATAATTGTCCTGTTTAACTTGTGCTTGTTAACCTTTAAGGTCAACTAGTTTGAACATACGTTTAATGAAATCCTGGAGCCAGAATTTATGATACCGCTGCTGAATGTTAAATTGGACAATTTACATAAGCAGGACATTAACCTTCTGAGCACTAAATAGCATTTTAGCACTTAGCCACTGGGGGCAATAAGAAACATGTTCTATATATTTGTGATAAGCTTGCCTGGAAACTCTCATGATGACCAATTGGCCTACCAAGTTCAGCAGCATAATTAAACGAATGGACTCAGCCTAAGTAAATGATCAGTGCTGTGTACAGTATATCATTATAGTTCGAAGGAAGAAAAAAAGATATGAATAATTTAATAATACATGACTAATTTATCAATGCTAAGTGACTTCGAGGTGGCTCTTTGCAGTTCATTGTTTTCAATTCGATATTTGATTGACTGCTCATGTGATTAAAACTGAATGTATTTCATTTCTTACCAGAAATATATAGAAGCAGTAGATTTGATTTGATTTTTTTGAGCTGAGATGTGTGGGGTTTTCTGCTTTGGTGAGATTACAAAATACCTACTACTGTGCACTGATTAGCAGGTAAACTAGGCATTTGTCACAATCAGATGTGTGTAGTCCCTACTCCTTGGTAGCCTTCCTGAGGGGAGGGCACTAACCCCTGCATTGTGCATAAGCCCAGCTTGCAACACAGCAGCAATTATCATTACGGTTTGGAAGGGTCAAGCACCAGGGAGACCAATTTGCGCTTCACCCAGGAATGTTCCTGCTGATTGTGGACAGTCAATCCACCGGGCTGGCTGTCCAGGAGTTGCGTTCTGTAAACTCAGTCTAATACTCGGGCGTACTGCTGGCCAAGCATGTATTTGGGGAAACGGTACGTTACCCTGCGTTCAGCTGGGGCCCCTGCCCCTTGAACTTCTAGGGTAAACCTGGATCCCAGTCCATTTCTGTTACAGTCCAAGACTCTTCCTTATATTTCTGAGAGGTCCTGGGTTTTTACTTCTTGTGCCTCCCTCTCTTAACCTCACTCTCATTCTCCCTGTCTCTATTGTCTTGAGAGACCCTGTGTGTGTTGTCCTTAGCTTTTTAAGTAGCTTCTTCTAGACACTACTCATGTCCGCCATTCTGTGATTCTAATGCCAAGCAGTCTGGTGAGGTCACATTGCTGAGCACCCTATCTTTCGCTGGTCTCAGCCTTTATCCATTCCTCTCTCCTTTTCACCTTCTTCTTTAAAGGAACAAGATTGTTTCTCTCCATCTTGCCGAGGTCCCTCTTAGGTTTACCTTCTACCCCAAAGAAACAACCATTTCTGCAAACAAACATTTTCCCCTTTCTAAAGGAGAAATCATAAATATTTTCACATCTAGTTGCAAAAGAATGGGAATATGGTACAAAGTGAAGCGAATATTTGGCAAATATCTGGTTGATCTGCTTGACGTGGCAAGTCAGGCTATGCGTGGTAAGTCCTCCCTTTCTGAAGACATGGCTTCCTGATCTGAACCACAGCCTGCTTCAGCAACAACAAACAATAATAATTCCTGGCATTTTTACACTTCAGAGAATGCTCTGCTGTATATGGTCTCATCTCATCCTTGAGAATCTGAGAGGCTGTTATACCAATTTCCCATACATGAAATTATAGCTAAAAGATTTAAGTCCCTTACACAAACCCTGCCCTGCTAGTTGGTGACAGAACCAAATTAAAATTTTTTTTGTCTGTTTCCAAGTCCAGTGCTTCTAGGTTGGCCTGACCCATGTGTTCCGATCATTGTTCAGATCCACAAACATAGATTGCACACCTATTATTATTTATTAATGTTAAAATACTTCTAAGTAATTTATGTACATGATAAAAGATAGAACAATACAAATAATTGTGTAGTAAAAAGTAGACTTTCTCTTTTCTCTGAATCACAGTTAACCCTCTCCAGAGACAATACCAGGATCTTGTAGATCTTTCCAGTGCTATTCTATTTTGCATGAGTTTGTGTGTCTATCTTTTAAGGTCTGCTTGGTAACTTACTGCTCATACTAGTCAGAGCCTTGACTTTTCATGTAACAGTATGTCTTGGTGACTGATCCGTATTAGCACACGTTAATCTATTTAATTTCTTTTAAGGTTGCACAGTACTCTATTCTATGTATTTGTCATAATTTATTTATTCTTCTGGTTCCATCTAAATTGTGTGTCTTTTCCTATTACACACAATTTTAAAATCTTTGTAATACATTTTTATATTTGAATTCAAGTATATCTGGAAGATTAATTTCTTATTTGAAAAGAGTCATTTCTGATACTATTCCTGGCCATGCACTGGTTACTCAGCTTGGCGCCAAACTACCCCATTACAGAAAGCAGGCTTTCCTATTAATGTGTGTTCTATTTTGCTCTCAGTTGATTTAACTTCATTCCATCTTTCTAAAGTAAGCTATCTCTGGGTTTGAGAACCAGAATTAGGAATATAGCAGAACATTAGGAAGTTAACTGAGACAGAGTATCTGGCCAAGGTAGAGTCAAGTAGACATAGTAAAGGGTTTAGACTCTGAAATAATACAGACCTGGGTTCAAGTGGTAGCTCGACTGATTACTAGCTGTATAATGTGGGCAAGTTACCTAGGCTCTAAGTGTGTTTTTTGCATTCTTCTCTATGTGGCTAATAATAGCACCGACATTCATATAACTGTAGCAGTATGAAATTGCATAATGCTTGTAAACGCACAGTTTCTGGCTCACAGGAAGCAGTCAAAAACTCTTAACTATTGTGGGCTATTAATATTGTTTAAACTTTACAAAATAATTGACTAGATAGCTGAGTCAATCCCAGACAAAATTTGATTGTTCATTTTTAATTTAAAACTTTTTACATCAAGCTATTACTTGACAATTTTTACTTGGTCAGAATAACAGCCAGACAATTCTGTTGACCTAACATTGTTTAGAACTGTCTTATAAGTAGATATGGTCCAAGCTTTAGCAACTACTATATACACACTGTTGGGTGAGAAAAGTCTTACTGTTCAGATAAGTGTTTTCAACTGAGACCTTATACGAAAATATTTTATAGGCATGATGTCTTATTTCCCTTCTCTGTTGCTAGTTTGCTTTTATTATTAATTTTATATTGTTCTGTAATGTGAAAGGACTCAAATGTGGGATTAACAGACACATACTAACATATATAAAATAGATTAACAACAAGGATTTACTGTATAGCAAAGGAACAATATTCAATATCTTGTAATAATCTGTAATGGAAAAGAATAGAAAAAGAAATATATATATGTGTGTGTTTGTATATGTGTATACATATGTGTGTGTGTGTATAGAACCGAATCACTTTGCTGTACCCCGAAACTAACACAATATTGGAAATCAACTATACTTCAACTAAAAACAAGTAGAATTCAATGGAAAGCAGTTTAGCTATATATATCAAATATTACATGTGCATATTTTTGAACCCAACAATTCTACTTCTAGAAATTTATGTAACAGAGATATTTGGAAAAATCTACAAATACTGTTCCTCATATTTTTGTTCTATTGCTTCTACTAATAAAAAAGTAATAGAGTAAGAAAAAAAAAAAGAACTCAGAAAGAATGCTTGGCCTTCACTACTTTGGAAACTGCCAGGTCCATGTTTTTTATATAGTTAGAGAAAAGGAAAGATACAATCAAGTTGCTGGTCATCCAGATGCCTAGCCTGACTGTGGAAAGATGGAATCCTTCCTCTCGAATTCCCTATGAGGATCACTCTGATCAAAAACCTGCCAAGATATTTAATTCCCACTTGGACTGTACGAGCCCTGCTCAAACTCTGCAAGTTCGCCTCTAGACAGTCCATGACATTTCAGCACAGTGAAAATGAAGTACTTGGACTTGAAGTCAGAGGACCTGAGTTTGTGTCTTATTTGGCTGCTTTTGCAGCCTGAGTGGGCAGTTGCTGAAGTCAGCTTCTTTGTCTGTCAAGTTTTACCTACCTCACAGGAGCAAATGAGGTGATGGAAGTTTTTGTGAATAACAGAACATGGGGAACATTTTAGCAATTGTTGTTATTATGATTATCATTGAGACTGGAAATAATGTTCAGAGAGTCAGAGATAGTGTCTGAGGCCAGCAAAAGGAGTCATTTCTGGATAGCTGGCCCTTTTGTAATACTTTCCATTCTGTTCAGCATACCCTTCATCAGTATTTTCAGACCTCCTAGAGCTTTTCTGTTGGCAGAACTTCTGTCTTACTCCAAGGTCCAGCTTGACATTTCTATGTATGTGTGTGTGTTGACAATATTGCTGAATGGTTTTCTCACCTTTGTTACCCCTCAGGTAGTATACTTTGAGCTGACACAGCGGAAACTATGAAAAGTCGGTTTCTTGTCTTTTAGATCTTTCCATCACCTCCCTCCTAGCCTGTCATCCCAAGGGCCTCCAACAAATCACCGTGTGTTCTGGAAATGCAAAACCACTGGAATAATCACCATATCAAGATGAAATGAGAAAGGTAACTTGCTGCAGAGAAACCCTATACACTTTATTCTCTCAAAGCTAAACAGATGTGGTTTATGGATTAGCTGATAGTTTGAGTTAGTTAAACCAACAATCCTCTCTTATGTGTTTGACACTCAAGAGTTAAAGGTGTCACTGATTCTTTTTTTCTCCTAATTCTTCTAAAATGCTCAGTGGTTTTGAGGAATTTCTGGCCAACAGATGTAGTAAGAAAGTATTTCCATCTTTGCTTCTGCCTCTCCTTTGTGGCACACCTTCCCTTGAGAATATATCAATACATTAACATTTTTAGAATGATTAGGTATGGAGAATAACTTTTTTTTACTATATTATATTTTGTTTTTAAAATTTTCATTGAAATATAGTTGATTTACAATGTTGTGTTAGTTTCAGGTGTACAGCAAAGTGATTCAGTTATACATATACCTATATACCTATTCTTTTTTAGATTCTTTTCCATTATAGGTTATTACAAGATATTTAGTATGGTTCCCTGTGCTGTATAGTAAGTAGGTCCTTGTCGGTTATCAATTTTATGTACAGTAGTGTGTATATTTTAATCCCAAATTCCTAATTTATCCCCCCCACCCTTTCCCCTTTGGTAACCATAAGTTTGTGTTCTATGTCTGTGAGTCTAGGGAAACCATAAGTTTGTGTTCTATGTCTGTGAGTCTAGGGAAACTTTGGTACATAAATATCTATTTTGGAATCTGTAGCGCCCCCTAATGATTTCCATGTTTATCCACTTAGAGTCGGCTTTTTCTCTTCAAACATACTACTTGCCAGACACTAGAAGAACAGTAGTTTGGGGACATTTTTCAAAGGATGCAAATGATTTTATGGCCTTCTTATTGGCTAGTATAATCTTAGCTAGAGCATCTTTTCAATAAACATTTGATGCCTTCATAAGCATATTTCCTCGTCTCCTATTTACTGTTCTTCCATGTTTCCTATACTTTCTTTCTTTTCTTGGCTTGGAATAAATTATTTCGTTGAGCACCTTACACTATTCCCAATCAACATCTGGCTAGAAATCTATACAGACAGATTTTTTCATCTGTAAAGACAAACTCAAAGAATTTGAAAATGAAAATGTTGGTGTAGCCATCTGAAAAGCTTTGAAACATTCTTTCAACTTTAGGGCAACCGTCCCCCACTTTGCAAGGAACATGCTTCCTGTTAACTGGAAGGAAAAGAAATTTCTCTGACATATTTTCCACTCAGCCCTCTTCTAGGTAATTCCCTTCATTGCTTTGGTAAGTCAACCACACTAACAGGTACCAGTGATTCTGTGCCTGCCTTGGGCTAAATGGAACAGGTGAAAAAACCCTTTCAGGTTGTCAGGTATTAATGTAAAATACCCCTAGACCTCACTGCTTATTCATCTTCATCTAGTTGACTAATGCTTTTCCCATGTTGTTACATGTTGGTAAATTAAAGAAACCTTCCAGACGGTTCTGTCAACAGTTTACTGAAATGTACCTCATTAGCGAAGTTGAGCTGTCACACGAGTGTAATTTAATCCTATTGAATTATCACTCAAAAATGCCTAAGTGCTCGGTTTTTGTACACCAGATAGAACACTTGCTACTAACACTGTCACGTTTCCAGTTGATGAGAGAGGAAACAAGCAAAAAATATGCAGCATCTCCTCTGTCCCCCTGTCCCTCCTTCGCCAATATAGTGATACTAATGTCAACTCCTGAGCAGAATATTACGTTTCACTGTAGATCAGAAACATCCCCATGGATCATCTTCTTTTCAAATCTAAAAAGTAACGCTTGCATGCTGACTGCTACCTCCTTTATTTCCTTGTCCACTAACAAAAGGACTCATTGATACAGAGGCTAATCTGAAGGAGTTCAGTTTTCAGAGTCTATGTACAGCATTTCTTTAACGTTAGGGGAGCTTTTTATTGTAAGACATTATTTGTGACCTGATGGAGGCGGTATCATGTTTCATCGATGGCAAAACAGCACATGAAATTAATTACTTTGCTTTAGTTGTATCTTTATTGTGATTATTACATTATTCCGAGGTGAACTGTGTCAAGGGAAGGATAAGAACTGATTATAAGAGTTTGGGGTTTGGGGGAGTTTGGGGTTAGTAGATGAAAACTATTACATTTAGAATGGATAAAAAACAATGTCCTACTGTAGAGCACAGGGAACTATATCCAATCTCCTGGGATAAACCATAATGGAAAAGAATATAAAATAAGAATGTATATATGTGTATAATTGAGTCACTTTGCTGTACAGCAGAAATTAGCACAACATTGTAAATCAACTATACTTCAATAATAAAAAAAAAGAACTGATTATAAGAAACCCATGCAGGGTTAACATTTTGTGAAGCTCTCCTTTGCAGAACACATTTGTAACTGTTTCCTTGGTTATTCAGGTAATTGTCACAATGTGGTCAAGGTGTGAGTTTTTCATTGTTGTGATTTGCCTAGTTGATCAGCCTAACCTGTAGAAATTGAGGACAGTCTCTTTAATAGATAAAGATGAACAGCCAAGAAATATATAAGCAGGTCTAAATAAATTAGCCTGACATATCGCACATATACTGATGAGGTATCTGTCATAATCAAAAATGCTTCCTATGGGACGTGTCCTGTACTCTGCATCTTACATGGATTAGTTTTTTCATTTCTCTTAACAACGCTCAGTGTTTGGCTTTATTCTGATCACCATCTTATAGTTAAAGAAGATGCAACTTATTGAAGTAGAAGCTAAGGTTATCCAGCTCACAAATGGCAGAACGAAAATGTGAACTCCAAACCCACGCACTTAGCATCTAGGCAGCATTGCAGTAGCAGCTATGAAAGCACAGAGTCAAAGCCTGATCATAAGTTCTGGATGCTCTAACTTGTCACGATGGTTCTCCAAAAGCATGTAGTTCTGTTGCTTGCATTTGGCCTCCTGGTTATGGGAAAGAGAAGCTGCAGAGTTCTGCAGTTGTTTTCCTATTCTGTCAGAGCAGATTAGCTATGGCCCTAGAGTGGGACTTTTGTGCACTGTGATGCAGGTCACAGGACAATGAAACAAGACCCTGTAGCTTGCGGAGGCCTGGCTAGTGCCCCCGTGACAGCTCGCTCAACCGTATCTGCTTGCTGTGCTTTTATGGTCATGAAGATTGTAAATTATATGGCTGTTTTCTTAGCCCTCTTACCTTCCTCCAACCTCTCTCCACCAACCCTCCATGTACCTGTCAGGCTTCACCAAAGGTGCACTAAATTCTAAATGGTGGAAAACTGACTCTGCATAATGGTGGGTGAAAAGGACCAGGGAGCCTTATATTCCCATTCAGATGGCAGCCAACTTTGCCTGAGAAATAAAAAGGGAAATTCCTGGGAGAAAAAGCGCAGAAAGGACACATATTTTCATATTCATTTTTTCCTCTAAAAGTAGAGCAAAGGGACCAAAATCAATCTAATGCATGTGTATTTTTTCTGTTATTTCTACTGGTGGAATAAAACCCATAAGCAACCTCTGAGATCGCTATACACACAGAACTGTTATTGATTTCCACAGCTATTTTATATGGGAGACACAAATGCAGGATGGCTTTCGGGGATTTTACTAGATCTGGGAAACCTCATTCGGGAAGCAGAAAAGAAGTTGGAGAAAAGTTGGGTCAGGAATACGGACCCACCACTATTCACTCGTGTTACAAAATATTTGGGAAATTAAATTAGAAGATCTCAGAATTCCCTTTCAAGTCTAAAATTTTAAGTCAGCCCCGCCATCTTACGATTATTTGGGAGTAAATATAATCTCACCTACCCACCACTGACACCATATTTTAGTCCTCTCAAAGTGTGGTCCCCAGACCAGCAGAATCAGCATCACTCATTAAAAATGCAAAGGCTTAGCATCACCCTGTTACCAAGTCCAAGCTCATACTGCTCACCACATGACAGGCCAATAAATCAAGAGAAGAGTTTTTGGGGTAAGGCATAGTGACTTTATTTGGAAAACCAGCAGACTGAGAAGATGGTGGACTAGTGTCCCAAAGAATCATCCTCCCCGTGTTAGAATTCAGGCTTCTTTTATACTAAAAGGGGAGGGGAATGCAGTCCTTGTTTTAGCCAGATTCCGGAGATGTGTTAATTTCTTTTTTCCTGCAGCCATTCATGGTGGGCCTGGGCAGGATGTTTCCTGTGAGCCAAACAAGGTATTTTAACTTAACGCTCATTACTTGGGAGGCAGGGTTCCTGGAGATGGGCCATTATGTGTAATTTAAGCTTATAGGAAACATCCCTTTAGTGCTTAACTTGAATACAAAAGTTAGCTTAACAGAATACAAAAGTTCTTCCTTATTACAACCTAACATCTACTGTATTAATGACTCTGGTGGTGGGGGTCCAGTAACATGTGGATTAACACACCTTCCAGGTGATTCTCATGCATGGCCAAGTTTGAGACCCACTGACATAATACTTACATTATGGTTCATTTATACATATGTACCTCCATGTATTCTATGATAAACTTCTTGGAGCAGGAATGTACTGGTTTTGCTCTAACTTTAGCTCATCGATTAGGAGTGAGGCACAGCCTTTGCTTTCCTGGGGATTATAATCAAGTAAGGAACATAAAACTAGCAACCCTCAATGTGTGAAAGAGATGGGTTTCTCTCTACTCATCATTTGGAGAATCATGAGTGTGGGAGTGACAGACACATATTTGATGCCCTGCTTTTCCCCATCCACAAAGGCACAAATGAGCTGCTTACTTTTGCTGGACAAGCTTTAATATATCTTTGTAAATTAAAAATCTAAGCGGTAATGTTTGATAACAGTACAAAATGCAACTTAAAGTTCGTGCCTAAAGATCAACTGGCATGGAAATATATTGGATTCTCTAGAAAATGATCATCATGCTGACATCACCTTTTTGGACATATCAGCACACTTTTGAGACAGGAAAAAGGACTGAGTACCATGTGCCAAGCCTTTTGATAAAGTTATCATGAACTCCATAAGTG